TTAATGATAAGTAAATAATTGTTTGTTATTTCATAATATAAAAGCTGCTCTGCTAATATATACTGATTTAGAAAGTTTCATAATGTGTACCTAAAAGATATATTTCATGAAATAAATTAAATGTTTATTTAATGTATAACCAGACCTAATGAATTAATACACAGTAAATAAAAAATTCAATTAAAAATAAGCAACGAACTGTACGATAAAATGAAGTAATCGAGTTTTTTTTATATTGGGCACGCTCGTAGCAGAGTTGGTAAGGGCCTCGACCAGTGTGCAGAAGGTCCGGTGTTCGAATCTCTTTGGAAACTGCTCTTATTATTATTTTTTTTTTTTAGAATTCGTTCAAAAAATTAATGTTGATAAAGTTCAAAATGTGTGGCATGATGATGTCAAGTGGCGTCACGTGGTGTAGCGAAAACTGAAATTTCGTTACGGGAGACGAAGTGAAGGGGGAGAATCAAGCAAAATCCACTTCCGTCACACTTTTTTTCAAGGTCAAAATCTGAAATCGTTGATTTACCCTCGAGCATAACCCAACTATTAAAGTAAAACTTCAAAAATTTTCACGATATTTTACACTCAATATGTAAAATTTGTTATCATATTGTTTTTTTTACTAATTTTTCAAAATATTCTGTATGTTCCAACATGTATTGTATTATGCTAAAGTACTTAACACTCTACTAAAAGCTTTCAGGTAATAAAGTTATGATGTAATACAGTACGACAAAATATTATATAGTTCATCAAGAACAGTTCAAGAAATTGTTGTACAATATTGTATCTACTACAAAGCTTCCGTACCAAGACGAAAATTAAACATAATCGCTTATTCGTTGTATTAAGGGAATAGGCAAGCTGTTAATATTTTTGCAAGGTACCCCACTTGAAAAAAAAATATTCAATTCGGACTGTACTTTCCGAGTGATAGTTTTTTTATTTTTTTTTTTTTTTATTACACGGCAGATTTAAAGCCGTGCATTCACTTTAAAGCGATTACCTACCCGAGTCTGGGCAGTGCAACAGAGATGTTTACGTTCTTTTTCCTTCGCTGGCTCGCCTCGGCGCCTGAAGCTGCAAAATTGCTCTATTTGAAATGCGTTATTTGAGAGCTTGCCGACATTATGAGTACTCAAAATACATATCAAAAAATTTAAACCAAAACAATAATTGTATCCTAGAAAAACATATGCACAATACATATTGCTTTAAAAAATAAAATATGGACCATTCTTGACAATTTCTCCATTATTTTTTACAAAATACCTTTTTTACGTTTTTGCAAATTTTACAATCAGATTTTCATCAAAACTAGTTATTATAAATACCTACAATTTAAGCCCCAAATAAGTTTTTAGTACCAGTAGCAGCTCTGTAATTAAATGTCTAAAAATAACCATTTATGGCGATTTTTATTGTTTTGTAAGAAAAGTTGTGCGATTAGGACTTAGCAAGAAATTTTTTTTTACATGTTACATTACGGTTACCAACATAGAACAGGAATTTTTTAAGCCAAAATACATGTATACGACGCTTATAAAACAGCATTCTTCAGATCAGATAGGGATTATTAGTATGAAATAATTTCTGCGGACTGCACTGACTCTCAAAACATGTTTTTAAAAACATGATCCTAAAGATCATTGATCTTCCAATACTTTTGTGTATAGGATGTGCATGCACATGAGTAATGTAAAAGTGGCAAAAAGTCGGACCTCTCTCTTGCAAATGTTGACGACTTTCTTAAAAGCCTACAAATTTAATATTACTTAGAGACCATGACTAATAAAGTGCAAGATACACTGTCCGAAATCTAGTCATAGAAAAAGAAGAGAAAAATCCGTAAATATAGTGCCAAAAACAACAAGTTGCAGAGAAGCAAGAAAGAAAATAATTTTGCGATATGAGTGCACCACCTAAACGAATATTCAAGGTGTGAATAAGAACAGTGATAAATATTATGGAACAATAAGAAATGATAAGTAATAATTGATGATTCAAATGACAAAGTAAAGAGAAAAATAACATAGGAGTTAGGCATGTACGATACCGAAAAATGCAACGAGACTTCTCGTATCGGTCTCAATATTTTCGGGTCACGGTCTCAAAACTTTTTTTAAAGCCTTGTCTCGTCTTGGTCCCATCTTAAAGTCTCGAAAAAATCTCGACATTTCCTAGACTCTTGGAAGTCTCAAAAAAAATGTTTGAGACCTATGATACTTTTGTGAGTCTTGAAAGTCTTACAGAAAATCTGTGAGACCTTTGAGACTTTTGGGGAGTCTCGGTGGTCTGGACAAACATTTTTGAGATTTTTGGGTTTCGTTAGTGATCAGCAGAAAGCCTGGACCGTGGTCATGTATGTATGCGTGGATTATAAAAAAGCTCACGATACAGTTATACGGGCTTAAAAAGTTTTTTTTCGGTACGAATTACATGAATATTTCCAAATTTTTGTAACTGTAGTCTTTGATCGCATTCTGACAGAGTAGCAATGGACGAGACGAGTAAGGAGGTTGACTACGTTTAGGGGGTGCGAGAGAGAGGTCCAAATTTGTGCCTTTTTTAGGTTAAAAATGTGTGCACGTGTCTGGTAATTCAATATTGAGTTGTATTTACACTCCAGATTATTCATTAATAACGGTTTTTACAAGGACCTAGTCGACGTGATTATTTTATATAATAAAAAGGAAGATGTTAATTCACTGTTGACTACATGTGTGTATGTAAAATTCACAAAATTTGTTTTATTAATTTCTCATTTCATAAGCACCCAGAGTTGTTGAAACTTTGCATAAATTTTTTTATTCATTTTTAAAGCTCTGCACCAATTTTAGTTAAAAACTGACTGTAAATTGTTTAAGGTAGTCAACCTCCATTAAACCTGTGAGAGCGAGTAAGACATACATGGCAAATATCGAAAATGAAGGGTTGTTATCAAGCGTCCCGTCCATTGTTGCTTCGTCAAAATGAGGCCAAAGACTCTGGCCAAAAAATTGTGAAATGTATATATGTGTTATACTAAGCTCGTGTAACTGTATCGTGTGAGCTTTTCCAGAATCCACGTAGTACAGCCATTGGGTATGCCTACATACAACACCTCACAATACAAGAGTACATATATCTGTGCAAACTTGTATTTTAATAACAGGCTAAACTGCCATCAAACTTTAAATAGCCAAAAAGCGAAAGAACGTATATATAGGACTATAAACACAAATGATGGAGCCAATTCTGTTTAGAACAATGAAAACAATGATCTCAACACAAAACCACTACAGGTCAAAATATTATTACCAGCACAAAAAATAAATACAAGATTTTACATGAAATGCAAATAATAGATATTATGAAAGTCCAGTAAATGCAATACCAATAATACTGAGAAGAAAATGCGTAAACAAATCTTTTTATCTTTATGGAGGAATCAAATTTACTGTCATATTTTTACTGACGTACGATTGAAGTCATGTCAAGAAAATAAAAAAAAAACGAGAAGAAGTTTTTTTTAAGTCGAAAAATTCATTATATAGTGAAATGACTAATCAAAGCAGAAAATCAAATTATTGGTCGACTAATGGACTACTACTAAACGACTTAGTCATAAAATGACCATATGTTTTTTACTGAGTTAAAACATCTTGTCATAAAAAACATGAAAATTATGTATGATTGCAATGCAAAATCGCTAAAATAGATGAGTTGGAATATCAGCATAGTTAACAAAAAGTAGACGTAAAAATCACTTTTTATTTGTACAAACTAAGAGAAACTTCTAACATTATGATTAAAGTATCTAACATAAATTTATTCATGATACTTTAGAGTTATCTTTATAATTTTAAACATTTAAAGACATTCTGCAGTTTGATTCCGTCAAAAAGTTTTTCTTTGCATTCCACTAATTAAGTCAACTATTTGGGAGATTACTTATGCAAAGCACTCCTCTTTTTACATGCTATTCAGATTACACTAGTGGTTTTACAAAATGAAAATAATTTAAAGCACTCAATATTTTTTATGAAAAAATCGAGTGTAACATACTTTTTCAAGTCTGATGAGTACAGTTAAGAACAATAACGAACAAAAAATAGAAAATTATAAACTTACACATGCTTTTTGTATGTTATAAAAAATTATCACAGTGGTAAGAATGCAAGATTGCTTTTATTTTAAGTTCTTATTTGTCTTAAAATATTCATAACGATAACTATAAATTTTTTTGCGATTACGACAACGTTAGTCGGAAGAATAAGTATAACTGTTTGAATTTTATCTTTTTTTTTCTTTCGTAACTAAAATATATATGGTGGTTAGTTAATTTTTTGTGGGAATTCAATGTGATATTATTTTATAGTCCTTCTGCTGACTTTCTTCTCTCTATTCGATAATGTAGATTACTAAGATTACTTACGTAATGTAGATTACTAGTATGAATATTTGATTTTACCTTACTAACTGTATCTGCCAGTTCCGTATGTTTTCTATGTTACAAGGGTGTACGTCGGTAAAGCGTGAATAAAATAAATTAATTGGGAGTAATTATGTGAATTTTGACTAAATATTATGATGCTCATTGAATTATTTATTGAAATACACCGATTCTTAAAGTAATAATCTTGAAGATTTTTTGTCACGAAGACCTATTCATCAGGGTCAAACTCGACTGAAATTATGTAGTAAGATCATCTGGGATTCCACTTATATACTCTGGCTTACTAACACTTTTTTGTTATTAAAATTCACGATATGTAGAAAGATTTTTTTTTAATTAATTGCATTAGTGTAATTTAGTTAATTGACTAATTTATACAAGTTAAATTTTAAGTGTTAATATTTCATTTAGTACTTGTATTTACTTCACAAATCTCATTAAAACTGTTAACGTTATCTATAATTAATTCCCATACTAAACTTAACAACAATTTATAGGAAATCAACTGAGTACATAAATTTCTTAACCTAGGTCAACACTGTACTCTGACCTTTATACATACCTGTCATGTCACACTGCTCTTCGAAGTCAGCTTCGAGTTTGGCCAAATCAAACTCTTCCTTTTTATCCACACTTCCTACCAGGCTAGCAAATTGCTGTTCTAACGGAACTATGACTTCGGCATGATCCTCAGTGGGAGTAAACATCGTTGGCATCACAATAACTGGATCAGAAGATAGAAAGATTTCACTAGTCGTGCTCTCTGGGTTTCTCGACTCGTTAGCTGCCAACTCAGTTTCTTCCATGCTACTGTTCAAGGTGATGCTGCCTATATTGCTCTGTTGGACGACCTGAGGAAGTTGAGATTTTTTATACATTGGCTAATTTAAGTTCAATGTAAGGATTACAAATTAAAAAAAAATTTTTTTAAAGAAAATTATTACAATATCTAGTAACATTATTTGAATAAATAAGTTTGTCTAGTTTTTACCTATATATAATTAGACAGTATAAAAAATGACCGCTAGAGAGCAAGAGGGCAATCAGCTTGACTGCTGAATATTGAGAGTAACTATTTACACTTAAACATCTTCTAATAATATATGGTTGTTTGTGTGGGGCATTCCACTAAATTATCAACAGTCCCCACAGTTCCCTATTCACAAAGTAAGGGAAAATTCATCTATTTTCTCTGTTATTTCATTTCATAACATTTTTGATCATTATATCAAGAATTCTATTAGCTATATTGTCAGTTTATTTTATTAATACTAAAATCAAATCTTATGGACCTCTTTAGTTACACTGTCAAGCAATTACAAAAGAAAGTTATCAATAAATATTGCACAGTAATAAAGTCAGAGTTAAAAGATACATAGGCCGTAAAATTAATTTTAATGAGTTTTTCTTACATATTAAGCAGCATCCTTAAAAGTAACAACTTAAAACTACTATGCCTAAATACAATATTGACTAACTGACTAGAATTATATCAATAGATATATAAAAAAATGATTCCAATGATTGTTGTAAAATTAGTTCATCATTGTTCCTAAAAATTTCTGAACAAACATGATTCATTGGTTTCTAATTTCAAAACTTTATAAAAAAGCCAGCGATACAAATTTTAGTTCTTCCAATCATTGTATTATGACTATTTTTCACGATATAGAATTTGGCGAAAATCACCACATAAGATTATTAATTCGTTACCAAATAATTTTTTAGTACTGGGAAAGTCTTTTAATGTATCATCAACGATTTTTAAAGCTGTTTTTTATATCATTGATGCTTCGTCCCAAATAATATTAGCCAATCGTTATTTTTTATATCTGATTCTCAGTTTGAAATTTGGCAGATTTTAACAATTTTTTACCGTGGGGGGGGGGTGACATGTGTTTAAAAAAATACTAAATTCCGTGCAACTAAGTTGCATTGGAGATAAGCCTAATCTACATTTTAATTATTCGAAAAGCTACATCTGTATGTCTAGAATATTTTTTGAGGTTGATCTGTCTATCACTATTTTTTAAACTACGTTTATGTATCGTTTTCATAATCTATAATACTGAAAAATCTCATAAAACTAAAAAATTCAAGCTCTTCTAGTAAATATCACAAAGTATGAAACATAGCTACACACCTTTGAAATGAGCAAAAATCAATATTCAAGAAAAATAAAATTTAAAACAAGATAAAATAATGGAAGATACTCTTAACAGATTTATTAGTTTCAGCTCAATAAAATAGATGATTTTGCAAAATTATTAAAAACGTTTATGTTTCTAGAAACAATATTTTAAATAAATATCACAAAAAAAAACAAACAAAAACCAAGCGTAAAGGGTCTCGGGCCCCTGACAGAAGCGAAGCTGCCTAATAAATGTGACAGAAAAACATTATCCAACATTCATTGTACCAATAATGTCTCTAGATACACACATACATATACATGCCAAAGCATGCGAGCGCCCACATACTAACCCACTCACTCACTCTTACACACGTATATTTCTGAGACTAACATCTAACAAATTAATGTCGAATATATAAGTATATATTATTTGCTAAAAGAAAATAAATAATAAAAAAATGAGAAATTATTAAAATTGAAAAAAATGAGTAAAATAAATATAGGTAAAAAAAGGTATTTATTCGGGCGGGGTATAGCAGTATATACAAAGTGTAGATACAATTGGTAATAATATATATTCTAACATCAACTGATAAAAAATAAAATTTTATTGTTAGTATTGTAAAAATAAATAAATAATGCTCCCAAATGTAATGACCAGCTTAGAAATTTTGGAAATAGAATTACTAACTCAGTTTATTTATTTCAAGAAAACATTTTCCATTATCATTTAAGACTATAAGGTTGACCTATTTAGCTCATGGGCACTGTGGTTGTGGGGGATTTGGATAAGCCCTGTCTTAATCCCTTTATGATGTCACAAGGTATACGTGGCACTTTTTGCACCAATCATTAACCACTACAACTCAAAATAAGAGTTATGTGGTATGATATTTCAAACAGTAATGTATATAATCTTTAAGTTATTCGTTGTACTATATGCTTTACAAGTCTATTATAATATATTAAATTNGAATAATCAAATATATACAATCATATTTAATTTAATTGTAAACAATGACTATGAACAAAAATCATTCAATCGAGCCATCATCTTACAAAAAAATTATTTTAACTTCAAGCCTGTAAAAATTGCTAATTATTGTTGCAATGCATCAGACACAAAGATCAACTAACAGCACCTCGTAACGTTGTGACGCCCAGCTGGCGCGCACAGCATTCAAACATCGCCCTTTTCGCATTTTATTATTCGTCAAAACGAGAAACACCTTTTTTACAAAATTTATTAAAGCAAAAAGACCTGATCTTTTGATCTGTGTGGTCAAAAAGAAAAAAAAAAATTCAACTATCATCTCAAAATATATTTTCTGTTGTAATTTGCGGTTTCCAAGTTTATGTAAGGAAAAATCGTGTAAATGATTAACACTATTCGAAAGCTGAGACTAAGACACTTGAGAACACATTCTGTTATCATTTTTATTATTTTTTTGTTAGTGTTTTAAAGCCAAACTTACGCGGTCAAAATGTCGTATTTAGCAGTTAAGTGGGCCGTTTGCGGTGGCTTTTGTACAGCTAAAGCAAATCTCTGCATATAAATTAAAGGATCATACTAAAAAATTTTTTTTTGTTGTAATTTGTAAAACAAACTGCAATTTTGCGCTATATAATCTAACAGTAATGTTGAGTATAAATAATCTTATTGTATTTTGAATTTTATATTTTCATTTCTTTAAAAATTTTTAAAATCCATTAATACTTAAACAAAGATTATTTTTTCCTTTTTTACAATAAATGATCACAAAAAATAAGTAATTTTGATTGTTTTAGATATTATCGCACTTCTTTAACCTTTCTTCATAGCAGGAAGTATTTTTTCAAAATCACTACCGTAACCAATTTGTCTGTTTTCAAACGGTTCATTATTGTTGCATCAGTTTTGCTAAATTTGATTAACTAGTTCCAAGGCTTTTTTTAAGGATCATAAAAATCTTATCTTAAATAATTTAAACAGTTTTTTGCAACTGTTTATTTAGTAGATCTAAATGGCAGTTCCAAGCGTGTACTTTTGATAGTGTCTAACTCTAGTAATAATAACATCAATTTAATTGTCATTTCCTTAAGGAGTTAGAGTAAGGGAATATCAGCTCACACCATGGACAAAAATTTTTTTATGTGGTAATGCACAACCCCACGGTAGCTCAGGTCGTAGGATAACTGTTTAGTAATCAGGAAGTTGTGTGGTTAATCCACACCCAGGGAAGAGTTTTTTCATTTTTACGAATAGTTCGAAATTTCTTTCAACATAAAAATTTCAATTTCTTCAAATTCAATCTTAACAAATCATGTTTCATCATACAAGGACATAGATGGACTGAAAGTTCTGGAAACAGAACATTTATCAATATGAGCCTATTCATTTGAAAATACATATGTATGACAAAAACTTCTTGTTATACCAGCAATAAAGTTACATGAAACTTCTAATACCTTAAAATTATTTTGGCATTCAACAAAATTATAAATTAAAGTTTTGTACAAGAGGATCCCGCTCATACTATCAAGATCATCAATTACAATAATTTTTGTTTATTACTGCATGCTTATCGATTCAAACACGTTACAGATTTTTAACAGTTTTCTACAATTAGCACTCAATTTTGTGTCATTAGTTTTTAAGACATAGATTTTTTTTTTTAATTATTATTATTAGGTAAAGGTAAATACGAAGATTTAACGTTTTTTTAAGGATTCGTTCGAGTCTTGAGTCCTGAATAAACTCGATGCATAAATACTGTAACGGGCAGTTAATACTCAAACGCCGTTTACACTCATCTAGACTGCGCGAGGAAGAAAGGCCAGAGAGAGAGCGAGAGGGGAAGGGAGCGTTATAATGCGTGCAAAAGAGAGAGAGAAAGAAGAGACAAGCGTCTTTATATGAGTATTAGCGAGGGACGCTCTTGGCCATTAGGCCAGAAGAGATTAGGTATAGGTAGGGTAAACACGTGTGCGTCTCTCGCCCGCTACGTTTGTCAAGCCACGAGAGGACAACCTCGCCATCGCCTCGCCCGCTCCGGTAGCCACGTACCTACGACGAGAAGACTTACCGGCTAGACACCAGGTCGAGCATTCCTGCTGAGAGGCCAACTGCTAGGCGATCTAGTGTAAATAAGAGGCTGCGAAAAGCCAGGTAAGCGCAGTGCGTGCGCGAGAATCATAATAGCCGCGTAATCTCTCTTTGTGCCTGGTCGAATTATCGCAGGCCGTCGGCCCCGAGAGGAAAGCCTTCCTCGACCGTACAGGCTTTGCCGTCAACGCGATCGAGCGAAATACACACAGACACACGCGCGCGTATGCTTTTGTACTAGTGCAATTAATATAGTTTTTGTTCTTTTGATCATTAAATGTTTGTTTTGCTTTGCGTGAGCCTTTCCTTGCACGAAGCCCTTCCAGCTACTCTTTCTTTACAGGTTTTATACAGCAATCTTGGCGTCCAAAAGGGAGCTGTAAGCCGAGCATCGGCCTTATCCTGCCGCCTCCACGGGCTCGCGCGTAAACACCAACGCGCGAGCGTCCTGAGCTGAGCCAGAGCTGAGCTGGCCCCTCAGCAAGCAGACGTGAACGAGGAAAAGCGGACTCGTTGTCCGCGTTGTAACGCGAGTGTGTCTCCGTGGGTGCCCGGGAAACACAGTCACGGTCAGAGTATCCCTAGTACTAATTTATGGCTATCAGGGCCATAAGTGAATACGGACACCCCGT